GAGGAGGAGGAAGAGGGAAGAAAAAGGGGATGAAAAGAAAAGGAAAGGAAAGGGCAGGAGAGGAGAGGGGAGGAGAAAACTAGCAAGGACCTTCCACCCCAGGAGATCCATGAGTGGAAGGATGCAAAGCGGAGAAAAGGGTCTGAAAGTTGAAAATGTTAACTTAGGAACAGATATGGAGTGCAGTATGTAGGATACTGATTAGTTGTTCTGCACTGATATAGCAAGCATATAGTCATGAGAGTTTACATATCTATGGTGATAAAAGCTCAAAGCACAGGAAAATGATTAAGGGTTCAAGCTTCTAAGTCAGATAGACATGGATTCAAAAACTAGCTTTTTGTATGTGATGTTCATGCAAATTTGGGCAAGTCACTGAACATTTTATCATCTGCAGAACAGAGGTCCAAGGTATGGCACCAATACACAGTGAATGTTTAAATTTTTAAATGTGTTACAATAAAAGACACATTGCCATCAATCCCCCTCAATTTGAACACACTCTTCCCTTTATTCTTCACCACCTTCTGAAGCAGCTCTGGAAATCCTTTCTTGGTAATGTCACATGTCATTTAGCGGAAAGGCGGGATCGTTGAAGGAAAGACATTGTGGTGTGTGTGTTCTTACCCATCTTCCTTAATGGATCTGACACCATTCTACTCTGGCTCTCCCCAAAGTCAAAATGACTAGGAAAGTTAGATATTTTGAAGCAGTTTTGGACTGCAATGCAGCCACAGCAGTGAAATTGAAGACACTAGGAGAGGGCCTCCAGCGGCAGTGGTATAGTAGTGAGCACAGTGGCCTTCCAGGAAAGAGGACCTCAAGATACGCTTTGGAAAGTGGCAAGAATGAATATGTGTTCCGAGTGGGGGGAGCATAGTAAGGGGAATTGATAGTAATGTGTCTTTCAATGTAATTTTCTAAAGTAATTAAATGTGCTCTCTATGTTTCAGTCACATTTCATCATAGTACCTATTTAAGAACATAGAACATAACGTTCAGTTTGTGCAAAATAACTGATTGAAATTTATTGTTCACTGTCATCATCAAAATCATCACCTTTGTTCATTTTCTTTCCCTGCTCTTAGTCTGTCCGCCACAGTAACAGAGATCCTAAACCCTCACGCCTCTGCGGAGGTGATTCCATTAACTTTCCCCAGGTTGCCTCTGCCCTTCTAGGCTACGATGGCACCCCAGAGCACTCCCCTGCGACAACAACTTCCTCTGATTATATCAAGCTAACATCACATGTCCTTTTCATTGCCATATGTCTCAAACGAGTAGCCCTTGAGCCTTTGTTAGACTTAGGTGGTCTACTCAAAATTTGACTTATTTCTCCAACACTATGCCTGTATTCACTCGTGCCTTGAGTCCAGTATTCTCAAAGTCATAAGTGAGGTAGTATATTAAATCTAAATTTCCCTTCATGATGTTCAGGATTTTCAGACCCCTTTAAATATACATCTTCCCTTAAAATATAGTGGTCTTTATCCATGGAGGATAGGTTCTGAGATCCAAGACCCATAGTTGATACCTGAAATTATGATAGTACTTCTGTTTATGTACCAATTTTTTTTCTATAGCTACATACCTATGATAAAGTGTAATGTATAAATTAGGCTCAGTAAGAAATTAACAATAATAATTGAACTATTATGATAATATACTCTAATAAAAACAACAATTATAATAATATACTCTACTAAACCTTTAGGCATGAGGGCCATTATTAAATAAAATACAGGCATTGCAGAACCATAGAAGTTGTTCTGCTGAGATGGATACTAAATGGCTACTGGGAGGGTGGCATATACAACACAGATACACTGGCAAAAGTTATTCATGTCCTGCATGAGATGGATCGGGATTTCATCATGCTACACGAAATAAAACTTACAAATTATATCTGAAATTTTCTATTTAATGTTGTTTAATGACTGTAGTTGACCACTAATAGCTTAAATCAAGAAAAGTAAATCTTCAAATAAAGGGAGACTATCATACTCTAAGTTGACAACTGCCTTATTCATTCTCCTCATGTAGTTTCTATAACTCTTCCTGTTTCTTTTTT